TCCAGTATCAGTACTGACATTAGAGGTAGAATAATAAATTGTTCTCTCACTACCAGTCACTAGAGAATATGTATTTGATCCACTACCATTAGGTCTAAAGACTCGAACATCAGGAAATAGTTTACGATCTCCACCGCTTCTCCTTATATTAATGCCCAATACAAGACTGGTTATATTAGAAGATGAACAATTGAACTGATACTCTTGAAGGACTCTTAGTGTATTATCACCGGCATAGATTTCAGGTGGATCTATTCCTATTCTTTCTGCTGTGTAGTTTAGTAATGAAAGCTCCATAAACCTTTCTGTGCATTCATCTGAACTACAGCTAACTGAATAAAAGACATTATTTTGATTAACATAGTAATGGTAAAAGTATTAACAACAGCTTACTTTTTAGCAAAAAGAAAAGAAGTAATGATCCATACCACATCATAAGCATCATTTTAGATCTTTTGAAACTATGGAAACACTTTCATGAGACAAAGCTTTTATAAAGTTTAACATTGTAGTTAGTGATATGGAATGATTATTTGAGATTTCTTAACATTTGTGGACTACTCATGCTCACCCAATTATACAATGATTCCTTTACTATAATTGAGGACAAATTATGATGAGCATTCCAAAATATCCGCTAATAGCAAATGCTTGTAGTAATTGCTTCCTTATTGTTATTTTATGGGCAATTTGTTCTCAATTAGAATCAAAAGAATCATTTTATAATTGAGTGAGCATGAGTAAAGTCCACAGATGTTAAGAAATTACAAATAATTATTCCATATCACTCAATGACACCTGAGACAGAAGAGAGATCATCCAAAGAGCACTTTCATGATCAACAAACCATTTTCACAACCAACAACAAAAAACACTTTTATCTTCACACGAGAATGACAAACAACTACCTGAACAAGAATCAAGTAAAAAATAGTAGAGAGAGAGAGAGAGAGAGAGACTGACCTCCTAATTCAGCATTACTCTTAGCAATGCTCAAATTATTAGGTATATTGGCTGATCTTAATGACAGTCCTTGACTTGGTACCAGTTTAGACTCAGGGGCTACTCCAACTACTCGTCCTCGAGAGTCCCAGTCCCAAACAAAGATCATTCCATCATTACCCAGTGACAGTAGACGATGGTCTCCCCTGTACGGTCCCTCTTCCTCCCTAAGTATCCACTTCAACTGAGCAATGGGTTCCTTGTGGCCCGTCCCTGATGATGAACTGATAATTGGGTCATTTTCATTGCCAGTGTTTAAAATGTGCAGTCCTCCTGTCAGTAATGGGGTAAAGCAATACTAAGATGATGAATTTATGATGATGACAACAATAATTATATTAAAGATAGTAATAATAGATAATAGTAATATACCATCAAATGCTCCAACTGCTAAGATAGCTGGTAAAGATGGATGAAATGCAAGAGACATTATGCATACCTAAGATATACAAAGAGAGAGAGAGACGGAGGGAGGGAGAGGGTAAAGGAGAGAAAAAAGAGAACATACAGTACAGGTAGCTCGATGATGACATCAGGTTTATTGGGATCTATGCTCCTCCTATCAATATTCCAAGTACACACAGCAGACTGTTGGTAATAAACATATGTACACACAATTAATAAAATTTAATCTCTCTTACTTTGTGATTACACCAATCATCATGATTAAACTTGCCATAACTACGTGTATACAGTGTATGTTCATGACTTTTAAATGTATTGAAATTTGAAAGATAGTGTACCTCACTGCTATGACTGAGCCAGTGGTGTTCCATGATAAACTAGTGCACTGATAATACATTGAAATCAGTTATTATTATTATCATTAATTATAGGGTCATACTCACATCTTTAAATGGTGAATATTGTAAAGTATGTATCACACTAGTGCCTGTAGTTTCATCCTCCCATTCAGCTTTATACCCTTAAGAAATAAATATTATTATATATATAATTAATATTAACAATTGCTCTATTACCATCAAATGCATGTGTCTTTACATTTCTATCCAAAGCCTTCATTATCATTGGTTCTACTCTTCTCAAAAATTCTCTTAATTCCTTCAAAAGGAGAAGATTGCTGTCATAATTAAAAGGTCAATATTACTGCTGAATTATCAACTATGTAATGGTGACGTTCTTCTCGTTTCTCTTCATCTGTCTGAACCTAATCATGATTTTAATATATGTGACCATAATTGACAAAAGGTACCTTATGGCGGGTAGTGAAATTTGTCTTTCTAGCCTAAGAAATCCAACTTCCTGAGCCCCATTTATCATAAAATTACTCCACAGGATGCAAAAAGTTACCATGAAACTTTTAGAAACAATGATTGTCTAACAAAGCACTCACAGGTTGATATTTGCCATTATTAAGATCAATTTTAAAATCCGCCATAAGGGCCCTTTTGTCAATTATGGTCACATATTATTATTCAAAATTAATATCAAATACCTCTATATCAGACTGGTCACGTGACTGGCAACTAGCTTCATAAGTGAGTATCTCGCTAGTTCGAGTAGCCGTCTCACTCTTTGACCTACAGGATAATCAATCATAAGAAAGTGAAAA